CCCTAAACCCTAAACCTTTTGAGAATCAGTAAGACAGGGCCCAGGTTTTGGAATTCGGTTGAAAGCTGATAGATGAAGACGCTAACCCCTCACTTGGACACCCTCCGACTACCCTGCGTCGTGGCTAATTCCGCGTTTGGGTGCCCGATGTCCCATTTAAAGGTAGGAGTTGGGAGGACCCCCCACCCTGTAATTGTGCTTATCAGGGATAATACAGATTACATTAGCCTTGTATATTCCTACTCTGCCACTATTACAGGGTAGGGGGGTCCTCCTAAGGTTTCAGGAGAGTCCTTGCCATATTAGGGGAGGCCTCACACAAGCAGCATGGAGTCGGGGATGCCTGTCTTTACCCAAAGTGTCCAGGTATCTCTATAGCATACACCTAGGCCCTAAAGAACTGACAGAGGACCTCCTGTGAACCCTAAGTGCCTGGCTCTTTGCGTTAGAAAGAACATCGGAACTGCAGTCGGGTTCTGTTTTGGGACTGTTGGGATACCCGTTTCAATGCTCCAGTTGTTCTGGTGACCTCAAACTCAATGTTTGCATGTACCCACCCATCCTCCGTCTTCAGCTAATGTTCCCTGATTTCCTCGCAAGCCCTGCAGTAGTCACTCAGTAGTCCCTAGCCGGGCCTTCGTGGTAGTCCCCATACCTCAGATTCCTTGCTTCCCTGCACGAGACCAGTAAGTAAACACCAAACCCGTAACCGCTCAACCCTCAATCTCAAAGTCTGCGAAATGGCTGTGGGCTTCCAATGCACAACCTGTGTAGGTTTACGGTGTGGGGGCTTCAGCGGTTTGGGTATGAGGTGTCAAGGGTTTAGGCTGAAAGGTTCGGAGGTTTAGAGTTTAGAGCTTTCGGTTGAGCCAAGAGCCCCAAATGGTAACTTCTCAAGATGACACATCGCTAGATATCGCTAGATTGTTTTTGACTCAACAGGTGACAGGTGCCGCTATAATCCCTTCGCACTCCCAATACAGCCCTAGGCAAGACCTAGTTGGAAACTGAGACTCCCGCCCCATTCCAACAGATTCCGCAAACCCTTACTTTTGAGAATCGCCAAACGGTTCTCAGGCCTCTCCACTCAGACTCAGCACGTTGAACGTCAAGCCCATAGTTCTAACCCTAAACCTTTCAATCTGTAAGCTTGAAAGCTCTAAACCGCTACATCCTAAGCCCTGGGTTCAAGCTCCAAGCCCAAATGAGCTTTGAATAACAAGGGAATCCAGAGCCTGAGCTCTTAAACACAAGCTCGCACCCCTAAATCAAGAGCCAGAGGCCCGGAGCCCTGGCGCCTCCTGGTTGAACCTCTAAAGTATGCAAACTACACGCCTTTCTGATCTCTTTCTATGGGTTTCATGTACTATTTTGGCCTTATTGTTGAGGTTCCATGTAGCTTCAGCACTTCCTAAGCCCTAAGCCCCTGCATGCCACTAAACCTGAAACCCTAAACCCCAAACTCTAAAATCTTAAGCCCTAGGCTGGCTTCATGGCTGCCGTGTCTGCCCTGTTCACAGTCGGCGCCCCGCTGATGCAATGGGATCGGCTTGCTCGCTGCGACGCTTGGATTGGCGTTTAGGTTTTAGGGTTCAGGGTGTAGGGTGAAGGGTTCAGGAACATGTTCTCTGTACTCGAGGCCAGTACAGAATAAGAATATACGGTAGTTGTTCAACATACATTAATGCACGTTCCCTGTTTGGTTAGGATCCCCTTTGCAGGAAGTGTATTCCCAATGGCTTCTCCTTTAAACAGACCTTTTAGAACAACCCTCATACGAGCATTATCAGACTAAGCGGACCTCACGCTTTTTTCCACTTTTGTGGTGGGTTCCTTGGGAATTTTGACGCGGTGAGTCTATAGCAGCCTGGGGACAGAAGGTTGTGGGCTCAACTTCAGGGCCCATTGGTGTGTCTCTGTCTTTGGGTTTCTGGAATTCTTTGGGCGGGGGGAAGGCTGTGAGATAACAATATCAATATAGCAGGTACGAGCTGGGAATGAAGGAATGGAAAAGAAAATGGAAACTACGATAATGGGTTATACATGGACTACTATAAGGATCCCGTCCTTCATTCCTAGCTAGCCAAAGGTAAGGGGGTTGATGTTTCAGGGGTGTGAAGCCTCAGGCTTGGTACCTCGAATACAACAATCCGAATCCCAAACCCTAAACCCTAAACCCTTCGACCCCTAACTGCTGCGCTGTCTGAGGACTGGGGAGCATGCATCCTGGCAGGGGAATTGAGATGGCACCGCTTTTTTGAGAAGCCCCCCCCTTTGTGAGTTAGTTGCGGGGATGTGTGGGTAGGGTTTAGGGGGCAGGGTTAAGGTGTTCAGGGGTTTCTTGGAAACTTCGTGTTTCTGATGGGTTCTTTATGATGAGAAGTTTACAACTTGCGGGAGGCATACAAGGGGGATGACAGGCCCCCAAAGGATTCGAAAGGAGTCGATCTCACCTGAAAACGTCTTGGCGACTGGCACATTGCATAGACTGGCAGCCCTGTGGAGATAGTATAGTAGGGAGAAGTATAGAAGGGTACATTGAGCTATAGCTTAACCCTTGAAAGGGGCTTATATAGGGGATTATATGACCAGTATAGCTGTTATTAAGGGGGATACTATGAGTTTGGACTATTGCTCACATAGGGGCTTTCATGGGGATCCCTTCATCCAGTTCGCAACCTCCGAGGCTCCAAGTTTGGAAAAAAACTCCGAAGTGGGAGTCTGATGTCAGATGCCAGTCCTACGCCCTTCTCAACCCAGGGGTTCAGGGGTTAAAGGGTTTAAGGGTTTAGGGGTTAAAGGGTTTCAGGATTTAGGGGTTAAAGGGCTTAAGAGTGTAAAGGGTTTAAGGGTTTAGGGGTCAAAGGGTTTAGGGGTTCAGGGGTTAAGGGGTTTAAGGGTTTAGGGGTTGAGCTATTCCTCCCGAAGCCTCCCTTACACCCTCCACCCTTTACCCCCAAAGCCGGGAATAAGCTAAGCAGGTTTAAGGTTCAGGGTTCTATCAAGAAGAATTCCGGAAACGATGCTGATGGACAAAGCCAAAGCCCTAGATCGTTTCTCGAAACAGGGTGCCCTGGGAGCCTGCGGCCTCACAAACATCTGAATCTGGAGACTGCAACGGTTTTTTGGGTCGGGATCAAGGGTAATGTAGGGCAGCTGCTGAGAAACCAGAACTAGGGAACGTATCCGTGTGTGTGTATATATATATATATATGCACCTGTATTTATCTAAAGAGTCCTTTTCAAAAAGCTCCCAGAAAGGGACCCCTAGTTTTGGGAGACCCGCAACAGTTTCAAAGCCAGCTTCAAGTAAGTAGGGCGTCCGCTGGTTTAGGGCTGAGGGTCTTATAGGTGCAGGGCTTAAGGGTTTCAGGTTTAGGGCTTAGGATTTCGGGCTTAGTGTTTAGGGTTAGTTGGCCAGATCTGAACCACCGCCCTAGACATCATTATAGATTAACTCCTATAATAATAGGATTTTGGTAACCCCAGCCCCCAAAATTAGGACCCTATACCCAGCATATGATAGTCATAGGGTCCTAATTTTGGGGGTTGGGGTTGCCAAACTCCCTTTATTATCCTAAACCCGTCTCCAAGCCCTGAACCAGCGAGCTCTTGCCGTATCAAAACTCCGCAGAGTGGCTACATCCTCGCCATCTATCTCATCTTAGTGCTATGGATGTTGTGAAAAAAACAACACCCAAGAAACTGCTCCTGAACCCTAAATCCTATCTTTTGGGAAGGTTCCAAGGCAGATGGAGAATCTATCTTATAGATGTTCTTCCATTCCTTCTTTCCGGCAGCCTGATGAAAAATGAAGCCGGGATATGTTGCGAAGGTGTGGACCAAATGCCGGCTGTCCTGCAGATTTTGATCTTCTTGGAGGCTCCTCCAGTAATTTTGGAGTTTGGTAGCCCATCAAAAACACTGCT